CACCAAATACAAATCCCAGAATTCCATAGCAGTGAACCTTGCCAATTAAAGTGGTACAGGATAAATACACTCCCAGTGAGTTCAATAGGTTTAGCAACCAAATAAAAATATACATTTCACATTTTAGACTATGGTTTCAATCTACTTGCTTAGGAACACGGCCCACTGAATTACATGGAGCTTACTTTTGAGTAGACATGGATAGGATTACATCACAAGAGGTGTAAACAAATCAGATCTGTACAGAGGTCAATATCAGTTGCATCCAGATTACTGAACAGACCAGACCTGTCTGCTAGGACTGAAACCCAAAATATATTTGGCAATGTGTTGTTGAAGGCTTTCATGGACGGAATCACTCGGTTGCTGTGAGTTTTTCTGGCTCTATGGCCATGTTCCAGAAGCATTCTCTCCTGAACTGGCAACATACAACAACAAAAAACCCCAAACAGTTGATTTCCCTGGCTCTCATTTCCAGTGCTCCCCCAATCCCTTACAGATTAGTGGCAATAATGAAATCTTGAGAGATGCAAGCATAATCCAGGGAATGAGAAAGAGGTTCCTTCCTCCCAGCCCCAATTTAAGCCCTGTTAAGGTACTGTTACATATTTCAGGCCCTCATAACAAAAAGATGGACAAGAATTTTGCTACCATCACTTCTGTCATCCTCAGTTTTAGCAAAGGGATGACCTTATATAAGGTCATAGATATATCAAATAATATATAAGGTCATACATACATCACATAATTGCAAGCAACAAGCACACACAGATACGCCTGCCCTTCCTTTGCCACCTTGAACAGGTAAGTAGGTGGAAAAAGCTCAGACCTATAGTGAATGTTGCTGGGCCTATTGCTCAACATTCGGCCCTCAAATGCTCCTGTAGCTACAAAGAGGTTCTTCTGACATTTTCAAGCACTCTTGTTCTTGACTACCTAGCAAATCCAAACAGACATTTAAACAAACTCAAACAGACCCCACTTGAGAAGTCATGACAACCACCTAACAAAACATCCCATTGCCCCTCCACTTAGGGGAGTTCACACTTTGCCTTATTGACTTTTCCCCCCTTCAGTGAGATGTCATAAAATCAAGTATCAGGGACCAAAACTGACACTGTTTGCACACAGACAGCTTGGAAACTTTGCTTTGGAAGGGGTATAACTCCCAGAAGCTTACAACTAGTCTGGCCAGCCAGGGATTCTGCAAATGGTACTCCCAAACATTCTGAAATGACTTGAAGGTACGCAACAGCAACAATCCTAATTAACTGGCCTATCTCATCAATCAAAAGCAGGACCACATTTCCCATCGAAATAATGGAAAGTTTGTGTTGGTTAAAATTGTTCTTCGTTGTAAATATAGTATTGTTCTTTAAATGTTTTTGAATGGCAAATAAGATATGTTAAGTGTGCATAGGAATTCACTCATTTTTTCAAACTATAGTCTGGCCTATCAATAGTCTGAGGGACAGTGAACCGGCCCCCGGCTTAAAAAGTTTGAAAACCTGTGATATATGGTATACCTTCCTTTAAGGCTGAGAAGGTATGATTGACCAAAGTCACCCAATTGGTTTCCAATGGTCCAGCAAGGATTCAGGTCAGGTCTCCTGGAATCGTAGTTTGATATATAAAATCCCTATATTACTCTGGCTCACTCCATTCTGATTGCTACTGGCAAAATGCTGAAATCTGGTGTCCTACCCCAGAAAGGATAGAAGAGCACATAAAGCAAAGGTAATAAGATCCATCTTTTCTTGATGACACATCAGAATGAAAACAACGGTTCTCAACCTTAGAGTACCCCGATAGTGTCAGACTACATAATCATCTCCAGCCAGCATGAGCAATAGTCAAGGTAATTGTTGATGATCAAGGACCCCATAAGTCAAACCCAACCCAACAGCAATGAACAGCAACAAAACCCATAAATGCAGGTGTACGGCTGGAGAGAAAAGCCAAACTGAGAAAGGATGCCAGGTATTTCAGGTGCTTTGATCCCTATAATGTGCTATATAATGTGCTATATAAGCGCTAGTTGACTGAAGTGTCCTCCCCCAGAAACCACAGCACAGTGCATTGGGAGCATGTATAAACTCCCAAGATGACTCCAGCCAGCGAGTCAAGCGACATTTAACAGAGAACCAAAGCATCCTTAGGGACACTTAATCACAGGGCAAAAGAGGCGGCTCCTGGATTGTAACAAGGTTACAATGAGACTAGTGGAGACAAAACTTGCCCCGCAAAGAAAAATTTAGGCATTCCCATCCACTCCACCTAGCGTAGTTACATTTTCTGTGCCAGTCTCAAACAGGGGGAACCTTAAAACCACAAGTAATATGATCTGAGGCTGGTTTTCTCAGGGCAGCAAAGTCTCAATGCCTGGCTTAAACATGGCTCTGTTGCAAGCCAAACCATGTGGCAGCACAAATACTCCACCTGCCACTCAGGAGACTTCTTACCTGCCCAAAGGGAGGGATGTAGCTATGGGGAGGAGGGTGAAAAAATGGGAGCATTGTCCCCTATAAGAATCTTTCCCTTCCCATGAAACTTCCTTTTGCTCCCCAAATATCTAACATTTACAGTCACTCAAAACACCAAGTGAGCATTATTTACTTATTTGTTTGTTTATTTATTTATCTATTATTTAACATTTAGAAATACAACATAGGCAGCCAAAGGAAAGGGGCAAGGTAAGTGACCAAAGGAAAATGAATACAGCAAAACAAAAAACAAAAACAAAAAAAAAAACCCTAAAGGAGGTATTCTTAGGAAGCATCTGCCCTGTAGAATTAACACTTTTTGATACCACTTTAATTGCCTGGACTCAATACAATGGAAACATTGGAAGATGTAGTTTGGTGATGCATTAGCATTATTTTGCAAAGACCTTGCAAAACTGCAACCCTGCATATTCCACAGTTTTGAGGCATAGCAGTTAAAGTGGTGTCAAACTGCGTTAATTCTGCAATGTAGCTGCACTCCTAGTCTACAAAAGCAAAAGCTACCAATGTATTGTTGAAGGCTTTCATGGCTGGAATCACTGGGCTGGAATCACTGGGTTGTTGTAGATTTTTTTGGACTATATGGCCATGTTCTAGAGGCAGTCTCTCCTGACGTTTCGCCTGCATCTATGGCAAGCATCCATCACAACCTCTGAGGATGCTTGCCATAGATCCAGGCGAAACGTCAGGAGAGAATGCCTCTAGAACATGGCCATATAGCCCAAAAAAACCTGCAACCCAATAGCTACCAACTTGGTTCTCTAGGGACCTTCCACACACCTATATAATCCTGAATACTGGCAGAGAATCCACAAAATCTGCTTTGAACTGAGTTATCCAAGTCCACACTACCATATAATCCAGTTCAAAGCAGATAATATGGGATTTTTTGGGTAATGTCAAGCAGAAGTCAGGTCTCCCTGACATTTGCAGGCGCTTTGTTCAGGCTTCGGAAGACTTTGGGCCCTTCCAGACGGGCCCTATATCCCAGGATCTGTTCTCAGATTTTCTGCTTTAAACTGGATTGTATGAGTCCGCACTGCCAGATAATCCCAGATAAACAGAAAACCTGGGATCAGATCCTGGGATGTCTGGAAGGGCCTTTGGTTAGTCTCAAAGGTGTTACAAGATGTCTTTGCATACAGCCAAGAGGAGTGTTTGAACTTTCAAAGTCTTTAGGGACTCACACTATACAATGTTACAGCACTCTTAGAGCCTTTTATCCCAGACTATCAAGGCAGAAAAACCCACATTATTTGAGTGTGGACTCACTCAACCAATAACCCAATTCAAAGCAGATATTGTGGGATTTAATGCCTTGATATTCTGGGATATAGAGCTGTGTGGAAGGGTTCTTATTTAACTTCTATGACAACATCCTCTGGAGCTGAAGTGGGCAAACTTCAGCCCTTTGGGTGTTTTGGACTGCAACTCCCACAATTCCTAACAGCCTCAGGCCCCTTAAGCGGCTGAGGGGGAAAAGGAAGGGGCCTGAGGCTGTTAGGAATTGTGGGAGTTGCAGTCCAAAACACTCAAAGAGCTGAAGTTTGCCCATGCCTGCTCTGGAGCCTGGGATTTGCAGTTCAGAAAGGGACATTTAGAATTTCCAGCAAGGGAGCTCTGGGACCTCACTTAAGGACAAAGCCCAATCCTCTGCAGAATGTGGTCAGGGCTCTGAAAAAGTGGGATTATAATGCTATAATGTTTTGTGTGTGTTTGTGCGTCAGGACTGAGTTGAGAAACTGCAGGTTGCTTCTGGTGTGAGAGAATTGGCCATCTGCAAGGACGTTGCCCAAGGGATGCTCAGATGTTTTACCATCCTGTGGGAGGCTTCTCTCATGTCCCCCAGCATGGGGAGCTGGAGCTGACAGAGGGAGCTCACCCACACTCTCCCCGGATTCAAACCTCTGACCTGTTGGTCTTGGCACAAGATTTTAAAGGCTATAATGGTGTAGCAGTATGAGAAAACAGTAAAGACTCTGCAAGAGAAGCCATTTGAGGGCTGAAGGACAGTTTCATAGGGTATTTATGGGGAGGAACTGCTCCTCTTATTGATTTATTTACTTACTATACTTGTATACCGCCTTTCTCAGCCTATTGGCGACTCAAGGCGGTTTACAAGTCAGTACACAGAATAGCAAAATACAGATGAAGCATTCAAACAATATAAAGCCACAATAACAACAATAGAAACAATCTTGTCCTCCCTGAGTGTGTGTGCCCATCTCTTCCTCTGGAGGAACTCCAACCAAGTTCGAAAGAGAAAGGAAACAAGGCTGAGCTCCCCTTTCCCTTCCTCTTGGCCTGGTGTGTTGTCACTAACCCGGGGGGCATCTCCACTGTGACACTGTGGGGATCCTGGGAGTTGTATGTAGCAGCCCTTTGGTGAAACGGTACACAGCTAGCTCAGAGCCAGGGCGATCCGAGTGGTGTGGAGCTGCACTGGTTGCCCTGTGAATTTCCGCGCGTGTCTCGGCGCGGGCTGCTTCTTCTTACCTTGGCTGGAAGAGCCGCTCTCCCCTTCAAGGCTCACGCCCTCCTCGTCCTCCTTCGCTCGGCCCGGCGTCCCATCTGCGGGGGAGAAAAGAGCGCCCGGGTCGTGAGTGGGGCTGCTGCTGCTGCTACTGCTGCTGACTCTGTGCCTCTCCGTGGGTGTCCCCAGGGTTGGGTGCAATCCGGGCATGGAGGAGCCCACAGCCCAGGCTCAAGACGCAGAGGGAGGAGGAGGAGGAGAAGGAACAAAACCGCCGATGGTCTCGCGTGGGGAGCTCAGTGGGCGCCGCATCCTCTGGGCATCCCTCCCTCCCTTCTGGGCTCCCTCTCTCCGCCTCTCTCCACCTGCGCTGGGCCTCGCGTGGCTCTCCTTTTCCTCCTCCGTGGAAAAAAAAGAGAAGCCGGGGCGGAGTCCGCCGGGGAGAGGAGGGCGAAGAGAGGGAAGAAGAAAATAGAGCGAAAGAAAAGAAGCCAAAGAGGGAGGGAAGGGACGAGGGGGGAGAAAGTGGCATTGTTCGCGAAGGAGGCTCGCCATTGGCCACGGCTCCGCCAATGGCAGGGCGCGGAGGGGAGGGGGCTGGCCCAAGAGCTCCATCTGCTGCTGGAAGCGCGCCGCAGTCCCCTCCCACTCGGGACTTCCTCCCCCTGGGACCCTCTTCCCCACTCGCGACTCACCCTCCCCGCTGGTGACCCTCCCATTCGCGAAGCTCGTCCCACTCGGAAGGCTCCCACGCGAGACCCCAATCCCCCACGCACCACTCCTGATGCTCCCACTCGTGACCCCTTCCCATGCGGGACTTCCTCTCCCGCTAGAACCCTCTTACCACTTGGAAAGGTCCCACGCGAGACCCCAACCCCCCACGCACCACTCCTGATGATCCCACTCGGGACTCCTTCCCATGCGGGGCTTCCTCACCCGCAAAAACCCTCTTATCACTTGGAAGGCTCCCACACGGGACCCCAACCTCCCCACACACCACTCCTGATGCTCCCACTCGTGATTCCTTCCCATGCGAGGCGTCCTCAACTGCAAGAACCCTCTTACCACTCAGAAGGCTCCCACACAAGACCCCAATCCCCCCCACGCACCACTCCTGATGCTCCCACTCGTTAATCCTTCCCATGCGGGGCTTCCTCTCCCGCGAGAACCCTCTTCCCACTTGGAAAGCTTCCACGCGAGACCCCAACCCCCCACGCACCACTCCTGATGATCCCACTCAGGACTCCTTCCCATGCGGGGCTTCCTCACCCGCTAGAACCCTCTTACCACTTGGAAAGCTTCCACGCGAGACCTCAATCCCCCACGCACCACTCCTGATGCTCCCACTCGTGATTCCTTCCCATTCGGGGCTTCCTCATTATTCTCTTACCAGTCGCAATTCTCCCACGCAAGGCCCTCTCCCACTCGTGACGTTCCCACGCGAGACCATATTCCCACTCACGTTGTTCCCACCCCTGACCACTTTCCACTTGCGATGCACCCTCCCATGCATGAGCCCCTCTCAGTGGCTTTCAACACTTCCATGCTTTCCCACTTCCCACCTGTGGCTTCTTAGGCATCCTTTCCCAACCTTTTGGTGGCCCAAAGAATCATAGAGTTGGAAGAGACCTCATCGACCTTCCAGTCCAACCTCCTACCAAGAAGCAGGAAAATCGCATTCAAAGCACCCCTGACAGATGGCCACCCAGCCTCCAAAGAAGAAGCCTCCATCACACTCGGGGCAGAGAGTTACACAGCTCTCACAGTCAGGAAGTTCTTCCTAATGTTCAGGTGGAACTTCCTTTCCTGTAGTTTGAAGCCACTGCTCTGCGTCCTAGTCTCCAGGGCAGCAGAAAACAAGCTTGCTTCTTCCTCCCTATGATTTCCCCTCACATATTTATACATGGCCATCATCATGTCTCCTCTCCTCCATACCACACAGATTGTGGAAGTTCCCCTTCTGATAGAATGGAACGCCTTCCTGCCTCCACAAACACACACGCAATGGTACGTCTATATCAAGCCCATAGGCTATTAGGAATTGTGGGCATTGAAATCCAAAACACCTGGAAAGCTGAAGTTTGCTCATGCCTGATCTACATTGTATTGTTGAAGGCTTCCATAACTGGAATCACTGCCCCATATTGCAGTCCCACTGCTACTCTGCACATCTATCACATTTGAATCCAGTGGGACTGCAGTATGGGGCACCCCAAGTTACTTTAGTGGTGGTAATTCTGGCCTGTCAAACTTTGTTGGACTGCAACTCCCAGCATGTTTTGCCTTTGGCCGTGTCGCATAGGCCTGCTGGGAGTTGCTGCCCAACAACATTTGGTGGGCCACATAATTCCTACCTCTTACTTTATGTCCTACTGAGACCAAGAGCACACAATTTCAAGGAAAACAAAGTGCAGCCTAAACTCTACTGTTTGAACACTTCCCTCCCCACGGAGAGTAAATAAAAAGAATCAATGAGATTTTTATGTGTTGACTCACCATTCACCAACAATGGGTTCACTCTAATTGGGACTAACCAATAGGATTCAGGCCTTTGTCTGAATCTAGCCAAGGTGAAGATAGTGTAATTCTCTATGTGCCGGACTAAAACTCCCACCAGACCTAGTCAGCAAAGCCAAAGAGCTGAACTGCTGGGAGTTGCAATCTAGCAACAACAGGAGCAGCCTTTCTCAGTTTCTTTTTTGTTTGTTTGTTTATCACAAAGGAACCCTTAAAATAATTTTCAGCTCTCAAGGAAATCCCTGCATTATTTTATCTACAACTAAAAGAATGTGGTTTTTTCCAATCACAGAACTCCACCTATCTCTTGTTACGTTGAGAAACCCTGATCAAGAAGACAGATTTATTTCTCATCCTTGGTTTAACTCAATGATTTTAATGACATTTCATTCTAACTCACATTTTGGCAGCAAAATCTTATTACAATACTGGGAATTGAGTTGTCTCTTCAGCGATCTGATGTGGAAGACTAATGGAGCCCTCGCAATGTGGTATCATATTCATACACATGGAATACAATACGGTTTCTTTCTTTGAAATGTGCTGTCAATCAGCAGCCAATACCTCATGTGCTGATCCATTTAACCAACACTGTCCCAAACCATTAGAAACCATTGGAAAAGCTTAAGGAGCATACAGAGAGCATGATATGGCACACCTACTACTGCATCCTTTCACACATCTATGGAATTTTTGGGCTGAGACAACCATATCAGCCCAACTAATATAATGTAAGACATTTTTTGTTTCTAGGTTATAAATGTTTATTTTTTTAATTTATTAAACTGCAAAAACTTTGTTTTTGTGGGACATCCTGCAGCACATTTGGCTATAAGTAAAGGTAAAGGTTTTCCCCTGATATTAAGTCCAGTCGTGCCTGACTCTGGGCGCTGGTGCTCATCTCCATTTCTAAGCCAAAGAGCCGGCATTGTCCATAGACACCTCCAAGGTCGTGTGGCCAACATGACTGCATGGAGTGCTGTTACCTATACTTATGTATATATCTTTTTTTTTTTTGTAATTTGGAGACTGCCTGTACATAAGAAATATATCCAGTTACTGAAAGATTTCTAAGCTATCTTTCTAAACCAAGTTTGTCAAAGCAGTAGCAAATCCACCCACCAACCAGAGCAAAAAATGATAATATATGTATTCCTAGCAAAGACAAAAAAGAGGGGAAATTCTCTGTCAGGGGAACATGGCACACGATGCTTAGGGAGGAGTAAGTTTTGGAAAGGTATTTATAGTATGTCTAGTTTTTGCTGGCAGTTCTGTGAGCGGGGAATCAGACAACGGCAATTTCAAATGACGACCCAGCTGCATCCATTACTCTCTTCACCAGAAGAGCTGGTTGTGGCCTTCTAAAACTGAGTTGGATCCACCTCTTGAGCAGCTATTTATAGATTCCTGCATCAGTGGTGGAGGCTGGTGTTAGTACAAATAAGTGACCCAAGATGAGATGTATGCCCCTCATCATCTTGCATGTTCTACATTTGAGCAGCAGTCCCAGGTCTAGCTGAACCGAAGCCATTTTTGTCTGCCAGGGAACCTCGAAGTTCGTGTGGCCAGCATGACAGCCTGGAGTGCCATTACCTTCCCGCCGGAGCGGTACCTATTGATCTACTGACATTTGAATATTTTAAAACTGCTCCCTGGATTCGAACCTGTGACCTTTCAATCAGCAAGTTCAGCAGCTCAGTGATTTAACCCACTGCACCACCGGGGGCTCCTCATTTCGCTAGAGTTTTTCAATGAATGTCACATAGAGTCTCAACCCACTCCACATAGTTTGTGGCAGCCATAAAAATGAAGTTTCTGGAATATAACAACAACTTTCAAAGTAAGTACTACACAGTTAAACAGAAAATAACACTTTCAAACCAGGAACAGGATTTTTTCCCAAATTTTGTTACATAGTGTAGTAGAGCGAGTCATGGGTGAAGCAAATTGGCATGGCATTCTGTTCTGAACTGGCTTGATATCTTCCTCATGTTCACAGAACAGGGAGATGATATCACAGTTATCTAGAGCCAGCATGTGCTTTTAAAAGTCAGAATCGCAACCTCTGTCACTGTCAGTACACCTGGACCAACTCTGAAATATAAACCTTCTAACAAACTCAAAATTGCACTGCAGCAAATTAAGCGTGACTATACGTATATGAGGGGGCTTCAAAAAGTTTCTGCACTTTTATATTTTCATTGGAAATAGTAGTGTTTGAGAGTGCCATGTGACTAGTGTGTCTAGCAAGCTGACTGACCTTGCAGTTTAGCCGAAGAGCTGACACGCTGTTGTGAATATGGCTGCAAAACTTATAAATTGCACCAGAGAAGAATAGCATTCTGTCATAGCCCTTTTGTGGACAAAAGCGTGCCAGGAACACAGATTCATCTTCTCAGGTGCGTTCAGGATGGGGATAAAAATTAAATGTTTGAAAATGGCTGGACTAGTGTAATGGATGCAGAGCGCTCTGGACTTCTCATCCTCGTATATTTATGGTGATGGATGCTGAAATCCAAAAGTTTATACTTCTCAGACAACTATAACAAATTAAGCAGATGTTCTGTGATGACAGGATCACTATATTATAATAATTTGAGCATTGAACTAGGATTCTGGAAGATCAGGGTTCAAATTTGCACACAGCAGTTGAAATCCTCAGGCAATTTACATTCTCTTAAATTGAGAAGAAGGCAATAGCAAAACCCTTCTGAACAAATCTTGTCTAGAACGCAATGTGACGGGATTGCCTCAGGGTCACCATAAGTGGAAACAACTTGAAGGCTCCCAGCAACTCATGACAAGTGACAAGTGTCCACTGAGAAGTGATGCTCCAAACCTCTCCTCGCTACAGTAGTTCTGAGTTGGTTATTGTCTCATTTGCAGACCAATGTGAAAATGCTATCGTAATTAGAATGTAGACGATGTTGCAGTCCA